AAAATGTTATCATTTAGTGGATATTATTGCACTGTAGAATGGATAAAATATCAATGAAGGGTGGGAACCGAACCCGCAACTTCACGAGTGCTAGAACAGCACTTTGATACTGAGCCATTCTGCGCCCTTGTCCCGCTCCTCTTATACTAACACATTTTATATTAACGAAACTTGAAAGAAACATTACGTTTACAAAAATTTATGTCAGTTGAGTTTTACTGGCAGGAATCACGGAAGTCTTTTTCCTTAGTGCTGCGACTATTTTGCTCTCAATGGATTTTAAAATATTTTAAACTCTCTCCAATAAGATAAATTAAATCTTCATAGCACGATCTACAGAACGTAGTTTCGGAAATAAACGGTAGATAGAGCTGTCGGCAAGCAGGGATGTCCAGAGCCATCAACCTATCGCGCCAAGGCATTTTCGACGCGATACTTTATGTTTCCAAGAGCGTATCTCTGTTCAGTTGCTGACCTTGTTCGACTGGCATAAGCGATGGGGTGTTCTCGACCGTTGCTGAGTCTGTGTAACAGTACTGCGCCGGGTCATACTGCATGACTGGGGCGAGGTCAGCGCATCCTCAAGATCCTTATAAGCCCTTTCGCCCGCTGGGGTCTACTCGAGGGAGTCATTCAGCAGCATGTCTCTAAGTGGTCGATCTCTGGTTGATAAATCTGGAATGAATGCGCTATAATAGGTTGCTTTCCTCAAAAACAGCTGGAGTTCCTCCGGTGTTGTTGGCGCATCTCGGACGGCTCCGATGTGCGTATCCGATTTATGGATGCCCGTCGCATCGATCTTGTGGCCAAGGGCTTGCAGGACAGGTTCTGCGAATTTGCACTTGGCTGAGAGCATGTTGGCGAAAACACTCCAGTGTTGAGACCATGTTGGCGAAAACGCTCCAGTGTTGCATTGAGGGCGTCAATGAGTTTTTCAAAACTGACTGCAAAAACAAGTGTCATCGAAGAAACTTACATTTTTGAGATCTTGTATGACGGTGTTCATACGCCGCTGCCAGATAGCAGGAATATTAGCTGCACCATAGACATCACGGGTTGGACGGATCAAGCCATGAGTTAGAGTGTTGATAGTGAGCGCGTGGCTGAATTTGTCAACTGCCAGGTGGGTGTATGCATCAGTAACATCTAGGTGGCAAAAGAGGGTGGCGTCTCGCATCCGGTTAAACAAGTTTTCTACCTTTGGGATTGGATGTTCGTCGATGATAATTCGTGGATTGAGAGTGGGTTTGTAGTTCCCCGTGATTCTCAATTTTCCGTTCTTGGCGACTACATGCGCTGTACATGCCAATTCTGAGTACTCTAACTCTCTTGTAAAAAACGGATACGATCTTGGCGTCGATTCTTTGGCGTAAGCGTCAGGTTTTCTCGAGCTCGAGCAAAGATGGGTGTGTCACCCGGCTTCAGGTGCATCTTTGCTTGTGGGCCTGATAACTTTCCGGGAAGATCGCTGAAAACATCCTGGAAACGATCGATGGTGGCGCCGAGTTCCTTTTTCTGGTCCTGCGATAGGAATGTCTAGGTGGAGAGGTCGTGGATTGATTCTGGTTTGACAAAGATGCCTTCAAAATGTATCTCTCGCACAAACTCAGAAATCCATTCTCTACCACGTAGCGTTTCAAATTCAGCGTCGACGGCATAGAAGTTAAGGTTCCTGGATGTGGTCCCGATGGTGGCGGTGACTAACGTCTTACCGATGCAGTTGATGCGATGGCCGGCGTAACTGGCGAAGAGGCGATCAGTTTTTTGCAGCACAAAGTTTGGTTTAATTAGAATGAACTTCGATTTGCTCATGAACGAACAGGGGGCGCCAGTATCAAGTTGGTTAACTGTGGTTCCCTCTATACAGTCGTCGATCAATTGCCGTCCTGGGGACTGAACTTTTCCAATAATTTCAATCTTACCGAGATATACGGTGTCGCCGCGGTCGACTGATAATTCTTCTGTGGCCTCTTCTGTTACCTGATTAGTCCTCCGTTGCGTCGGTTTGAATCGGCAAACTTTGGCAATGTGGCCTTTCTTACATTCCCGGCTTTCAGCATCACAAAACCGGCATTGACTGCGGAAGTGATCTCCACCACATCCTGCGCACGTTGGCTGATTCTCTGATGTCTGATTTGGTTGATGAAACCCTTGTTGTGGCCGCGATTGGTTGCCGCTCTGTCGCCGGCTTGTTGACCAACTCGGAGGCTGTTGGGTGTTGCTCCGTAACGGTGGCTTCTCATAACCTATCCGATGAGTCGAATCGGGTTTTAAGGTTATGTCGTCAGCTTTGAGTTTGTTAGCAGTGTTGCACATGGCTTCGAGTGCGTGGGCAATCTCGCACGCATAGGCGAAGATCTCTGGTTTCTTAGCGATGATTTCATCGCACATATCCCTCAATTCCAGTACTTTAAAAATTGTTCAATTAGCATTCGGTCTAAAAATGTGTCATACAAAAAGTTGCTGCTTGTCTTAATCTAAGAGTGAAGCTGGCTATTGACTCTCCACTCCTTTGCATTGTGCTTTGAAACTTGATGCTTTCACCAACAGCAAAAGAGGAATAAATTTAGGGTGTATATACAACAGCAACAAAAGCCACGAAGAGAGAGAGAATGTTAAGGAAGAAGTGTATCATGCAGGCAGATAACGGGTCTATACAGAGACATTATCAGATTTAATTTATTTAAACGAGTGGAAGAGCTATTGAGGTTCCACGAGAGGAGAGCCATAACTTTTAGATGTTAAGTTACTTTGCGTCTAAGGGATTTTTCTTCTCTTTTTTCCATTTATGCCTCTGTTGCCCGAAGGAGCGGCTTCCACCACGACTGAAGTTTCCTCCAAGGCAGATTCTCCCTGAGCACTCCTCGACGGGCTAAGAGATCGCTCAGAGCGAGTCTCAGGAGTCTGGGAAGGTGGTCGGAGTTTGGAGGAACGATCTTTTTTAAGTTCGTCTGAGTCAGAAGACCGAGTGACATCGGTCTTCATGCGGAGCTGAGAAGTGGATTATAGGTCCGACTTCGCCTGTGTGATTTTCTAGGACAATTTGTATATGGAGGGAATCTTCACACCTTACAGAGGCGATGTAAGGCGATGCGAAGTCCACTGGAGACACATGGCAACAGAAATGAGCAACTGAGCAGGTGAAGTCTGACAACTCGCTATTGCATTTATCGTCTTATGTCGGGTAGAGTACTATAAAATGAGCGCCTGAGATCTACAGGGTTCTTCACTAAGTACGATGTTTTGGCTCAGAAAAAGACACCTCTGTCACACTGATATATTGGAACTCCCTCTCCCTCAGATATGTAAGGCACCTGTTCGAGTTGGCCGCATGGTCTCCTTCACAGTTAACACAGCTAAGTGAGGAGGCACAGGGATCCGTATCGAGCGTGTATTTGCCGCACTTTGCGCAAACATGGGTTACGGTCATGCACCGCTGTTAGGTATGGCTCAACCTCTGTCACTTGAAGCAACGCAGGGGGTTTGGCACATACTGCCGCAAGTGGAGATTATAAAACCCATAACTAATCCTCTCAGGAAGAGAGCGGAGATTAAACGCCAAAATCCGAGCGGGAGTAGATCCTTCTCTCTCTCATTCTCCTTCCTCTTGATCATAAACACCTCCGTTACGCCCCGACTCTTAAAGAAAGACAGAAGTTCCTCCTCACTTTCGGACACTAAGCCATCATGATTCACCACACCTTTGCAAAGGTTAAGGGTAGGGTGAGTGAATACTTCCGCATCCATTAGTTACTACTAGTAAGAGATTTTTCGATTTGCTCATCGGTGCGTGCTTCGAAGAGAATGGTACCATTTTTCTGACGCATCACCGCTTGTAGTTTACCGAAAATGGCTCGCGCGAGACGAACCGCAATAATACTTTTGAATGTTTTCCCTTCTTCCGTGCACGCCATCACAAGGAAACGTGGCTTTTTTGGTTTATCTTTTTTCCCTAAGGAAGAAAATACTCAAATCTACTGTTCTCTCGAAACATCGCCTCTTCCTTCCCGAAGAGGGCAAGGGGTTTGTTTTATGCTCCATAGAAACGAAATGGATTCATCTCCGATCTCCCCAACCACTATGGAGTCCTACAAGGGGACACCTCACTGGGTTGCCAAGGTTGTCATGAAGATATAGTGGAGAGATGTCACAGCGCTGCCCCGCCGAGGAACCCGACTCACCCTGGAGTTGAGTACAAGACCTAGTCCGAGCCGATTGATCGGGAATGGGTTAGCTCCCGACTGCCCGTTTGGAAGAGTCCGAGGCGAGTTAGAAATCTACAAGGAATGTTCCCCAAAATATGTAAACAACGTATCCCTATGTGCAAAACAGAAAATAGAACAAATTGGGAAACAAACAGGTATCTCAACTGCCAGGACACACATTCCCTCCCACAAGCCATGCACAGCAAACACATGGGTGGACATTCTACATACAGGGGGCCAGTGAAATAGAAGGAGTAGAAGAAAAGTCAGGATGTGATAAAAGAACGAGAATGAGCTATGGGAAAGATGAAGATAACTGGTGAAAGAAAGGAAACTTGAGAGCCCTCCCTGCATTCCCACGTCAGGACGAGGGAGGACGTGGGACCGACCCCCCCCCCCTCGACGGGTCAGGGTAGTTTGAGTCTAAGGGAGTATTTACTTTACAAAGTAATTATGACATGATATTCTCCATCCCTTATTGGTATTTCTTCAAAACTGAACAAAAAGTGTTTCTGAACAAAAAGTTCACCTGATATGTTCTTCAGTATATTGCAAGAACAACATCATCACTCAGGCTGGGTGACTAATGCTTGTCAGTTATGGATTTGCTCCAAAAACTTCTTACTTTAAGATGTTATTCAACACATTTTTCAATGTTACTTTTCTAAAGATTTCTGTGTTTTCTACTTTCTCACTAAATAAACCACAAACATATCTTACATTCAATACTGTACATTGAAATCATTCAACTTCATGCAAAAATTTTGAATTAGGATTAAAAAGTAATAGATTTACCTTGTAAACAAGATCAGCATGTTTACAGTGAACCAATCCTGAACTGCCTGCAACATCCAATGGAAACTTATCTGACCATTCACTATCTTCTACTTTTATGCTAGCTTTCTTTTTTCCAAAGAATGATTTTGCTTTGAAGGAGAACATTATTGGCCCTTTGAAATGCTCTGGATGGTAGAGGACATTTGCAGAATCATCGATTTGCTGCAAAAGAAAGAAATTATCTTTAAAGTTTGAGCAAATGATATTTTGAAAAAATCCAATGAAAGAATAAAGGTAAAACAGATTAGTCTTAGTAACCAGTAAATAGAAGTCACTAGTAACAGAAATCAAATGCCAAGTTCTATTCTTGTTTGAAGATAAATAATTTGGCAAAACCTTGATTTTACAACTTGGTACCTACTTATTCTTTAAGTATTGTCATTCAACAACAAAGGAGAAAAATATGTGTAGATCTCTGCAACAAGTAACTAGTGGATGTGGAATATCAAAACTTTCTTTCTTCAAAGATCATAAACATACAAAATTACAGAGTAAAAACACAACTGAAAATTAAGGTTTCATAGTAACAAAGAATTCATTCTTTTAAAATGCTTTTTATACATACAGCTAGAAGAGAAATTAAACATGCTTTGCCAACATTAAAAAATCACAATTACAATTCATCAGAATGCAATATGCATCAACGAGAAATATAATAGATACATATGATTCTATAGAGAGAAATAAGAAAAATGGAGAGAACATGCTATACAATACACAAAATACTTATACCAATAGCAATTAACATGCATGTGTAAATACGTATACCAAACCACTCACATTTATTAATACAAACTCAAACTCTAATGCAAAGCCTCAAAAGCAGGTTTAATTAACATAATGTAATAATAACTATCAAGAAATTTGCCAAATATCCATACATTAATCCTAGCAGTTTATTAATACAGATCAAAAATACTATCTAATAACATATGATAATCTTAACTTGCATCCAAAGTTAGCCCTTACAACTTTAAGATAATTATTTACTTTTACAGCATTCTTGCTGCAACATATAGGTAGGTACTCTAAAAGTATATACTCTAAAATACTAAATAATAAAATAAATTGAATTAATCTTGCCCTAAAACATGCAGGAAAGAAAATAAAAAGTACAAATTATAAGTCGCTTATATACATACATTTCCATACTCAGCACTTCAATATTAGTATTATCATCACTTCCATAAGAGTAAACTATATCTTTATTAATTAGTTAGTTTTTCTTGTTTACTATTTTTGATTATTTACTATGATACCAACCACATGCATATCCACTTCATGAAGTCTTACTTTAAAAACTATTTATTACTATGAATAAAGTGTTTTTATAGACTTACTGTATAATAGAAAATAAGTGGGATTTATTTTCCTTGTTTGAAGTTATTTCATACATTTTATTTGACTTTCTTTCCTGTTTAAACTGGATAACATCCTTTAATGTAATTCAGTTTCGAAAACAAGTTATATAATTGACATTTAATCTTTGTTTATTTCCCATTATGAACATCATTAATATAAGTAGGGACAACAAAAATATACCAATAATGATCCAAAATTATGTCTAGTATATATTACATATTTATATATACTTATTACATTTATTAGCTATTTTATAATGGTAATAAAATAAGTTCATGAAAAGAAAAAATTAAACCTATTATCGTTTACTCTCTTATCTTTAAATTAACGTATATCCTTCATTTACAATATTGTGTTGTCTTAGCAATTTGAGTTTGACACTCTGGTACTTTCCACTTTATTTCACAATGTTCCTTCTTTGCAATTAAATTAGAAAATAAACAAGTAAGAAATCAAATTAATTATTCACAAGTTCAAGTAATAAAAATTTGGAAATGATTAAGATTGTTGTATAGTAAATTAAAAAAAAATTGCAATACAAATAGTCTTAAAAAGAATGTTACGAAAGGGGTCGGCAGGGCAAATACAATCTGCATTCAAAAATATCACTCCAGGAATTTTCCTACAGAAATTACATTCATCCTGAATCTTGTTAACACTCACAGAAAATATTTGCTATTTTATCATTATAACTGGAATGGAACATTAAATAGCGTTGCATTAGATGTTACAAACATAAGTTATTTGCTATTAGCTCCTTTATTTCTGGATAGTTTTGGGTCGTAAGTGATAAAAATCACTAGTTCTAAGAACAAATGCCAACACTGGAAATCTATCTCAGCAAAGGGCAGTGACGTAAAGATTCTAAGATACCTTCCAAAAGAAATTCAGAGCTAATTCGAATAACATTGTTTCATTTTCAATGGTTTCCTTTTCAAAATCAAAGTAAACCCTTTGAAATTATAACAATTTCTAATTAAAATAACATGAAATAATAACATTTTTTGGCATTTATTTAATTATTTATCATTTAAACAATGTTCACAATTAAGAATGTCACCTGCCTTGTAATTTCTATTCATGGCCTCCTTCTGCAGAGGAAAAAGGATTGCAAACCCCTGGTTTGTGATGCAGAAGGGCAAAAATCATGCTGAAAAGGGCACATCTTGACCACACACAGATAAGAACACATGCCACCAGTGAATGATATGCTACTCGTGGATAGACAGATATGCAAGGCTTGGATACCATTTAGGCAGAGAACTCAGAGTACCCACCCTGACAATCAAATAGAGGCATAAAGCAACCTCGCTACTATATGCCTGCTGTACATATATTAATATGTTGTGAAAATACTTACATTATAATAGTGATATTTAATTATACAGAATTTTATTTGTATGATATGAAAGGGAACTTGAACTAATTGCCTTGAATGTCATGCAAGATTCAGTAGGCCCCACAGCAAGGTAACATTTAATAATTTACTATCACTTGCACCAACAATCATACTTTAAACACATTCACACACAAATTCACTCACCGCAGCTGCTTTTCCAGTAAAGCTAAGATTTGAACTCCAGCGCTGAAATCAAATGCATATTTCACAACTATCACAAGTTCCAAAACTGAACATAATGCTGATATTGTATAATTTTTGCTTCTAAAATGACTGATGAATATAACACTAATAGTTTCTCAAGAATGTGGAGACTGACTAAGAACTAGAGTAGCGAGGGATTCATTCAAAAATGTTTCAAATCACTGGATAGATGATATGAAAATATGGAGGCAATGACTTAACTATTTTTTTAATATTACAAACGCAGTATTACTTTTATAACAACATTAACAAATTCTTCAGCCCCCCTCAAACCTTGCTTTTTTTCAACTTTATGACCAGAAGATAAAATAGGAAATGTAATTCTAAATATCTTCAGTTTTATATTTAGCCATTATTCATCAGTTTTCAGATAGTAATATTCTTAATTTAAATAAAAATTACAAACATTATTCAGGAGCATTTTTAAACTTATTAGATTGTATCATTAATTTACAGGTATTAATTATTCTGAAAAAAAAGCATGTACTCTTTACCAATATTCTAAAATGTTTGGTAGAATCAGTTTTTCATTGAAGAATTTAATTTTTACTAACATTTCACTTTTTTCAATACTTCTTGGTGTACATTTCAAAAACTCTGTACTGCATTGAATGGTTAAATAGTCGGGTCCCCTGTGCAAAAATAGTACAAATTCCCTGCTTTGTTGTTTAAGGTGGCTTGCTCCCCTAGGCCATGAGGCGGCCATGCTACAACTTATTACAGACATCACCATTTGATGCCATTTAGATGGAGTGCATGTTTCAATGCAGAACAAGGTATTTGAATTCCATATCCACAAGCAGCAAAAAAGCCATTTTTTTGTAAAGAAATATTTTCAATGAGATATTAATTGCACCAAATTTTGTCAAATAATCGCAAGAGTTAACATGATTTTTGTTGCTATATTTCACATCCTTCACACAATATAACATAAAACATAAAATATATTATTTTTTGTAAGTGAGAATAAAGACAGGCTACAAAAGTTTATACACATTTATAATTAAAAGGATGAGGATACTTTGTTACTTGATAAACAATGTTCAACACCATGGCATACATTTGACAAACTGAATCAGAATTAATGTAAAAGGAGAGTACTGATTGCCATTAATGACTCTCGTAGAAGAATATCTTACAAATATTATAATAATTTTAGTGATTGCCCTTTCAATATTCCTTCAACAGTATTAATAATTCCTTATGTTGGGAAAAATCAATATTTACCACAGCAGATTTAAATATTCATTTATTTTTAATATTGTATTTAGTATTTGTTCAGTGTGCAGGGAATAAGATGTTAGAAATCCTGATTATGATATTATAGAAATCTTGGAAATGATCCTTATCATCCTGCCTTGGATACTGTTTTCATTATAAGTGATATTTCCATTTTAAGCTTGTATGAATGGAGGTATAATATCAATATGGCAGTATACATTGATTAACAAGATTCTATCCAAGATAGAGTGGTTGCATTATTTTTAAGTTCTCTTGAATCATCATTTAAAATTTTGTATAAATTGTTATTTGATTTGATTAATAAATATGTACCAAGAAATTCATATTATGAAAAAATTCAAATTATCCTGAATCATATTTAACTGATTTAAAATAACTTACTGTTAACCAGAATACAAAATTTTAAAGGCATTTAAATTTATTTTGTATAATAAATCGATTCTGATTATCTTTATTATTCTTTAAAAGAAAGTAAAAAGGAAGCTAAAATATATAATTTTAATTAAAAACAAAAATGATATATTTTATATCATAAAATCATTCTGGAAACATACTAAATTGAAGAGGAAATCAAATGGAATTCCAGATTCTTTATTTTTTGAATACAATTTAGTTAACACTTAACAAGGTATTGCAAATTTTTTTTCTGGTCTCATTCAAATTTTTGTCCAGTTTCCCTGATCCATTGAACCTGATGAGATGGTGAGATGGTGACCTGATAAGATGTCCCCGTGTGTTGCTTCCAGAATAAATGTAGCTTCACTACATGAACCTTTTGTTTCCCCCATATGACACATACAGTTTTAACTGTTCTTTGACTAAATAAATCAAATGAAACAAATGAAAAGTAACATCACGAGCAGTTTCTGCAAGCAGATTTATGAGTGGAGTGTGCCAATATTAAAATATTGAGTTTTTGATTAACTCACAATATTCAATTTTAGTTATGCGTTTCTCTCATTTACATATTTTTTCCTTTCAGTCCCCTGAAAAACATATAAGTGAAGTCTTACTGTATTTTCACAACATTTTTGAAGATGATATCATTCAAGATCCTGTGTATGTATAACTTACATTAAAAAATAAATGAATATTTAAATCTGAAGTGGTAAATATTAAGTGTCTGTAATGCGCAAAATCATTAACACTATTGAAAGGATAACATATGCATTTCGTTGACTGTAAGTATTTAATGAAAAATATTGGTAATAACAATTTAAATATTTTTTATCACTGGTTATACTACAATGAGGAATATACAGCTTCTTTGGAGGCTTGTGCTGTTCCTGTTTCCTACATCTCAAGCACTTCTCAGAAAATTTCTCATGCAATGGAGAATAAGTCATATGTGGATGGAGATCAGCCCATCACTCTGCCCCAAGGATGGACAAGAGGGCTAAATGGGGAATGAAGGATTGAATGCAGGCCGTGGCTCATTGTTTTCGATGCAACTCTGCCATATGCATGAAATTGATTGAAGAAAGCCACAACCAATCAGAGTAGCTGACCTCAAGAATAGTCATCTAAGCAATGATCAGATTAGACCCAGCTATTTAAGGGTATAAAAAATTCTGTTACCATAGGGGCTGGTTCTTAGAGCCTCCAAAACTATGGAGCTTCAGCTGTGAACGTATATTATCACAGACAGACAGTTCACATTTAAACTAATCAATTCATAACTTTTATGGAACTCATTTTGATATATAAAGAGAGAAAATGGAACTGTACAAAAATAAATTTACTTGTTTTCTGTGTTTTATAATTTGTTATTTCTGATATTTTCTTTGGACAGCATACCCTAGTATTATTTAAATCAGATTTTGAATCCCCATAAAACACTTATATAACTTCTATGTACACTTTTTATATGGCTAGAATGGTAACCACAATACACTGATGAATCTAGTATCAGACACTTTTTTTTTAAACAATAGGAAACTTAAGAAACTTTAAGCCTTTTTAAAGAATAATGTAATACGGAATAAAAGAAATAATATATTTTAAAGAAAAGAGAAAGTGTTATAAACAATAACAAAAAAACCACAACAACACACAAGTTGCCCTTCATATATTGGTTGTTGATGGCTTTCAGAGAATTTTACACTAAATATCACTTTAATTATTAATTTATTTTTGGAATAGAATGCTGAACAATACTTAATCAATTTCATTACAAGAAAATGAGATTCCTCATAGCAAATCGATTTTTTTCCTTCATGTTTATAATATACTCCCAAAAATAAAAACAAATGTTATCTTAGTGAATGGAATAAGAAAAGCCTTGAACTACAACTAATGAATTTGCAAAAACGAATATAGCATATATATTTTTGATATTAGTAAATAAAAATTGGGTTTACAGGTCTGAATCCTCAGAAGGAATTCATGCTAACACAATAAGACAAAAAACACTGTATCAATCTCTTAAAAAATTAAAAAAATCTTTTTATAGTTCTATAATTGTCCTTTAATTTTATTTTTCCTTACAGATAAATCACAGAGTGTGAAACAATACCTAAAATCAAGCAGATAATTCCTTTTCAAAAAGGTACTCAATTGGAATACTACTTCCTCTCCAGAAGAGCGCCATGCGAACCCATTAGCATATGTGTCACTTATGAAAGGTCAAATAACTAATTGATAATAACTGGATATTTTAAAAGAAATGCTCTAGACAGATTTGTGTGGTGGTTGAGGGAAGCATTTTTTGAAAGAAATATTTATATTTTTTTAACATTAAAATAAAATATACAAAAGGATAATCCAGAAAATGTAAAGAAATTATTGTTTTTTGTTAAATTGTATTAATTTATTAAAGTAAAATATATAATTAATATTAATTAATTGTTGTCTGTAATCTATTGTTTTGGAGAGAGGAGAAGTAAATGTGTGTTCACAAGTATGAGAAGCAAGATTTTCTGAACATTGGATAAATATAAAAGATTCAGTAAACTCTTATTATAAATTATTTCTAGGAATATAGATTTTTGCCTCTGACAGGAACTCTTGTAAATTGATAGTTAATTTAAGTTCTTATATTTATCTAAGATTACATGTCATTGTTTTTGAGTTGATATATGCTGTCATGTTTTTTTCAGTATTGGCATTTACTTATTTTTGGAAACATTACAACTGAATTTTGAAGAAAAACAAAAAACAAATGTTAATCTAAATTGAGACATTGCCTTCTGCACAACTAGATCACTGCTAAAATAATCAACAACAACAACTCCACAATAACAAGAAGCACAATATAAAAGACACACATCATGCTAAGATGATTAACCTTATGCTCTCAATTACTGCAATGATCTCACTGTTCCTGCTCGGCTGAGCATAATGAAAATATTTTCTTAAATGAGCTCTTGAGAATCTGAAGTGTCTCCCACAAAATAAGAGACAAGACAATGACAGATGAATTGGGTTATATCTGAAAGGGTATTTTTGTGAACAGGAATTGTTATGTAGTCTTTATCATGGGTGTTTCAGAGTAAAATCAATGAGTCACTCAGCTTGGCACCTGACAAAATCTGTCATTTTGACTTGCCCAATGGAAAAAATTTCCTATGGAACCAAAACAATATCTACTACATGTCAAGAATTCTCATAAGTAGATCTCTTTCATGCAGGAAGACAACGATTATAATTTATACATTAAGATTTGCGATGCCTGTATTATATCTTATGAATGGGATTTTCTTATAATGTATTTCTACTGTATTTGTAATATTACCATTTAATGTAACCAACCAGTAATAAAAAGTGAACTTGTTATTAAATATCATGTAAGGAAATAATATATTTCTAACAACAATAATAATGCTAGTTTGCATATTCTGCGATATAATTTTCAAATGCTGGTTCAGATAGAAACATTATTTACAGAAAAATGTTACATTTCTTAACATATGTTTGGAAGCTAAGTCAACAACACATATTTGCTCCTAAGAATATTTTGCTGTGTATCACTATGTTTACGTGCGTTTTGCTAGCACATTTGATCTGTAAATATGAAAGAAATACAACACAACATGTAATACAATAAATCATTTTTATAATACTTATATTTTCTTAATTTACTATTTTATATCATCCTAAAAATGGTGGAAGGAGGGAGGGAGGGAGGGAGGGAGGGAGGTAGCAGAGTATCTGATTCCCTGGGACTAAGTTTAATACACTGGCTTTAAGACAAAAAAAATCTTCATGTTCTAGAGAAAAATTGAAAGAAAATAAATATTATAATTTTATTTTAATTTATCAATCCAAAATTAATAATTCATATTGCTTTAAGAGATCAATTTACAAAATCATACTTTAAGTTTTTCTGTATTTTTCGTGTTTTGACTGAACTAGATTAAAATAAAGTTTCTGGCTTATTAAATTAGTGATAACTATTTAATATTTAATTCAATAAAATATAAATATTGAATATGATGATGAAATATTTTATATCAAATTTAAGTGAGCTAGTTAATCCGTCAATGCAAAGCTGAGGTTGGTTGCAGTAGCGTTCCAGCAAAGGGGAGCAGTAGCATTCCAGGAATGTAGTACCCCCACAGCTCTCTGGATGCCATCCCTCCACATGAAATCTATTGATGTCTAAGGACTGGTACCCTGGAATAGAGGTGAAAGGAACTTGCCATCCCAAGATGGCATTCAGCATTGAAGGGTTAAAGAAGCATGCTAAAAATTAGCTACTTTTTATGTATTGTTCTATTTGTATAAATGACTTATATTTTTCAACTGATTTTAGATTCAAATTAATAAATAAAAAGTAATAATTAACTTCTTGGACACCATAATGAAAATATTACTCAAAAAAGATTATTTCCCAAAGAGGAAAATGTGAAAATGGCTACAGAAGATTTTTTTTAACTGTAACTTAATTATTTGTTGGTATTTGTGCAAAATATGTTCTGGAGAAATAAAATATTTGAAACTTTTGAAGGAAACTTTCTGCATATTCTAGAGTTTTGAAAAATGTAATAATTAGTTATTATATATTGCAGTTCAGTACCAAAACCCGAGTAGTACAAACGATTTCAATGATTTACAATGAAATATACAATTGTGGTTAAAAATAATCGCACAAAAGATGAAGAAATCAAGCAAGGCTTTATCAGAGCATACATTTTTAGTATCAGAATGATGCAAGCAGAAGTGCAAGGTATAATGATCAGGTAGCTTTGCAAAATAAAAGCAAGAATGCAGGCCAATATCTGCATTACAAACATACAGTTAATAGTTGTGGTTGAAATAACTAAGTTGTTTAAGCAAAATCTCAGACTCTCCGAAGAGGAAAGGTATACCTTCAAAGGGCTTCCAGATGATTCATGGCCAGGTTTACGAGATTTCTGGAAAGCAGCAAAAATATATAAGGGTGCTTACACCAGGAACAGGAATCTATTGAGGTTATCTTCTGCTTTTTCACAGTTTTTGGCAATGAACTGGCAGAATTAATACAATGGATTATTTCACTAAAATTGGTTACTGTACTTTTCTTCTTAGCAAACTCCGAGGAAATTATTTCTTATGATTAATGTACATATGTTTAAAAAATCAACATTATCTCAAAAGATAATAATATAATGTTAAGAAAAAGTAGCATTGTTGGCAAAAATCAATTAAAAGGAAATTAGTTTTCATAAACTGAATAATGAGTTTAGTTGATCAATTAGGAATTTGAACCCCAAGGTGAAAAAATTATTTTATAGCCATAAATTGATTTAGTCGAAGCATTAATATAAAATTTTGATGTCAATACATTGTTAAAAAAAAAAAAATAATAAAAAAGAAATTAGAAGCAAAGGGATTTACAAATTTTACTGTGTTAATAACCCATAGAGAAAACTAGTTTTTTCTCTCTCCAGTAAATATTTTTTCAAAATGCTGTAGAAAGAGCAAACCTGGCCAATCTTTAGAAAACAAATAACAATGCAGATCGACAGAATTTCAATGTTTTTCTGTCCTCAGGTATTCTCCAGCTGTTACAGTATGTTTCTAGCCTTCATTTTACTTAAATGATATATTTTCCTTCAAGTTTTCTGCATCATTAAGTTTTGTGCTGCTTTTGGAAGCTTCTTTGCAAAATTTTCACAGATAATTTAGGTTTTAGCTTTTACTCATACCTATAAGATTTTATCTTTAGAACGGCAATATTTTTTTTACAAAAGTATAATTTGCTGAATGTATATTCAAGATGAAATTAAAAATATCTATATAATTTTTACTTCACAGGCTATCCACAAAACAGACCAACATTAAAGATTTCTTGGCATACTTTCATTCTCTTCCTGGAATCAATGAGCAAATGTACTCTCTCAATATGTTTTGTACAACAGGCTCTGTGTCTCTACAGAACTATCTTTCAAAATCTTAGATATTCTGGTGAAATCACTCAATGTGTTCTATTGAGTAACCTCCAATACTGTTCTATGAATAGGGTTTCTAAACTAATTAAAAATTTGCAAAAACTCAAAAATTTAACACTTTTCAAGTAAAATGGAGGCTACAAAACCAACATAAATAGCCAGAGTCAATGTTTTTTCTGGTCATCATGATTAATTAAGATAATAAAAACAGTTTAGACAGCAGTTTTTCTGATTTGAAATACTTTTCTGAGCATTTTGGTTCATAAAAGGTGGAAAGAATGTATTTTTGAGTACCCTGAACATAAAAGCAAAGTTTTTGGAGCATGACTATTATTTCTTTCATTTCTACAAGGAAAAATACAGGTTAGGTCAAAAAGAAATCCCCATCAATAGGTAATTCTATAATCAACTTTTGAGAAATATTCCGAAACTCCAAAGGAAGTATTCTGTTTAATGAGCATGAGTTAAGAACTTTCCTATACTATTAATCAAGTAGTTTTCATAAGAGATAAATGTAATAAAAAACTTATTTACATATTTGAGTTATACAGTTACAGAAAACATCAATTAAAAAGTATAAAACAACACAACTTACTCTGTAGGTAAGCAGAAGTCCTGTTTTATTTAGCATCCAATAGGGACAGTACAAGGTCATCACAGTACTTCCCAGTTGCTGTATTGTTCGCATTCCTAGATCAAGTGAAACACGTTGCTGACTGTCAAAAGCACCAAATGTCCATACTGCATATTCAGCAGAGTTTGCTTCAAGTTCATGATCACATGACCATTCCTTCTCAAGGTACTCGGGTATCTGAAATAGGTCTTTGAGATTTTAACACTTTTTCAAGAATAATTTTATAACAATTTTCCCAATATTTTTATGATGCCACATGATGTAAATTAGTACATAACATTAGTACCCGAACAATAAGACTGCATTTTCCAGGTTCGGCTGTAGGTAGTTGCAAACGTTGGCCAGTACCCAACTTTGATTCTACTGATGTATTGGCTAGACACACAACAATTTGAACAGGAAGGTGGTTCTTGAAGATAACAGTAGGCCTCAAATGAATATTGTAACAAGTACTCAGCATTGTATGTCTAGTAGTGTTTTCAAAGTACACTTGCTCCATTTCACCAATAATCTGTAAACAAGAAAAATTTAAGAACTGGCTTTGGCAGTGTAACAGTTAAGGTATCAGACCGTTATACTCAAGTTCGGAAGTTCAAACCCAATCAAAGCTAAGGATTCTAAGGGTGAAAAAATCTCTCATACACTTTCTTTCCAAGGGGAAGTAAAGCCAGCTATACCATGTTATTGATTTACTGTGCGTAAAGGATCTTCAAGCATAAAAGAAGTCTCTGAGCTTAATACAAATTGCCTATTCCATCACCCAAATGATACCTTCTTTCCCTGTTAAAAGGATGAGGAGAGCATAGAAAAATTTGCTAGGTCAGGAGGATATGCAGGTCTCATGGCCTGGGCCTCACCACAAAAAATAATGTATCATTGAATTGAATTAAATCATTATAAAAACTACTTTTTACATTCTCTCTACCGCTTTCACAGTAGAGAGAAAGCTACGTAGGGGAAGAGGGGGAGGTCTCGGCAAATCTCTTTTTTTTTTGCTAAAAACTGTGAAATTGCAAGAAAACTGAAGCAAGTAGAACACATTTAAATACTAAAATATGGCAAAATCTTGCACAATAATTTTTATTGTGGTTACGTGAATGCTACAATAAGTAGCATAGTATACTGAGAAAAGGAATCTAACAATTACGAAACTTATTATCATTAATGATATAACTCTCATTACCAGTATTTTTGCAGAAATTTTAAAGAAAAGTTACCAAGAATAAATTATTGCTCTGTATTTAGAAGTTGTATTTCATTCACTCTATTTTCAAAATCATATTCATATTATCTTAAATAAATATAATTAAGCAAATTATGTTTTTTTTAAATAAATCCCAATGCAATCAATCACAAATTAATGAATTTACATTAAAAATACACATTTTGAAAAATCTCACATGAGATAAGAAGGGGGAAGGGGAGGGCCAAATCTCATGCCATCTCACCATGGAAGTCAAAACATTGCCAAAATCGCCTCATGTAATTTATGGAAACCCCTGGAACGTTTTCAAAATTTTCAAAACAATGTCTCCATTGTTTTTGATTAAATTTTCATGTTGAAGAGTGTGCAGGATGTTTAAGAAAATGGTGCAGATCTCATTTTTGTTGAAAACTCTGATTTATCGAAAATTGCAAAAATTCAAAATTTTTTCGGTGCCTTCTTGAGTACTTTTCGTGAAAGTATGGGCAAGAAAGTTTGTGCTCTTTTAGCACCACTAGTTTCTTAAGAATTTAAAGCAATGTCTTCCTGAAACCAATTATATTCTTATGTACAAATATGTGTATGCACATCATATGTAACATTTATGTGTGCTTCATCTAAATTAGTTGAAAACAATAACAATATACTAAAATAATTAATATATTGTTATTGTTTTTAACTAATATATATGAAGCACACATTTTTCAAAATTTACTCAAATCTTCTGAAAAGTTTTCTATATATCCTACACAAATACATAATACTTTGGCACAATATTCTGAATATTATAATAGGAGTCAAATTGAGGTAATCCATACCTCATAATGTTAAATAGTATTTCATAAACCCTGTCATGTTTTGAAACTGCCGGGGTGGAAGAGAAAAAAATATATTAGAAGAGAAAAGTATTTATTTAGGAAATAAAATAAAAACAATCAAGAAAACAATGGAGTTAACAAAAGGAAATAGTGACTAACCAATCACAATAGCTTAAAGGGTTTTTAGGAATATAAGCAGATGAATTGAAGCCTAGAAGCTAAGAACAATCACTATGAGTTATGCCTAGCGCACGGACATCAAATGCTTCTTGAATTGAACCAGCCGCTAAGAATTATGAATTAACCAGCAAGGTTGCCGGTATAAACAATGCTTGGAACAGAACAAGTTTGCATGAGATGGAAGTGGCTTGTGAGGCTGAGCAGCTAGGTTTTTGAGTAGCGAATATCATGCAGAAAGGAACAAGTTCACATAGCTTATCAGGAACATGGACGAATAATTGAATAACCATTAGGAACAGAATAAAATTAGTTGTATGAGTAATTTGGAATACCATGTGTGTTTGGAAGACATATGGAGCCTAGTCATCAACCAGATGTAATGATATTGCAGAGAAGAAAGGTAAGTAATAGAAAATACGATGTAGAAAGAAGAAGTTTTACGATAAAAAATTATTACATTTTCAAACATTAGTCATTTTAAAATTTTTTAAATGACAAGTCATGAATGATCTGAATAAATGCAAATGTTAGATTATTTTACATTATTATTAATAGAAAGCAGAGTTGCATGATTTTGCATATTTTTGTCAGTTACTTCAGGGCATAGCTAAATAAAATTTGTGGACGTTTGGTTAGAATTGTGAGCTATGTCGATTAATATGTTGGGGAATATTTGTGCAGATTTCACCAATTTTTCTTGTTGGTGTATATTTGTGTAATTATAGGAGCATATTTTGCATGTTTTGTTAAATTAGAGACCTACAACAGAGACGTATTTTTATCTCTAAAACGTTTTGTCTTTTCATAGAATCTATTTATTTGTGAGCATTCATTGATTAAAAAGAAATGTTTTTCTTCCCTGTAGATGATAAAATATTTGTGCAAATGTAGGGTATTATTTTTTGAAATATTTTTTACACCGGGTAGAAGAAATGTAGGCGTAGCGATGTAGCGACCCCATCCATAGCATCCATGCCCTTTCCGGTGGGTGGGGAATGCAGAAATTAGTTTCTCCTGCCTAGAAACGAGTGGCTGACTGCTGGATGTGATAACTGTAAGATATTCTTCTTACCTAAAATCCTTTCCTGAACCCCGGGAGCCAATGGGTGGATTGAGTAGCTCGGAGACTTCCTTTTTCTAACCTTAGGTGTATCCTTACCATTCCCTTTTTCCTGTTCAGAGGCAGATGTGCTTCAAATAGGGGTAGATTGACACACTTGGAAGACACTCAATCTAAGGGAAGAAAACTCTAAAAGAAAATTACCCGGTCCTCCTGGAAGGGGGTTGAGGCATGGGGCCAGCACCCCCATACTAAGAAAATAAAAAGAAAGCAACTCAAACTCTCAATGGAAATGAGCCTCGGATTAACTCATGACACCAACAAAGGCAAAGAAAATGGTCTATGAATTTTGGATGCTGGAATGTTCAAGGTTTAAGCACTAAAGTACATGAAGTTTTTAACGCAATAGAGGAGTTGAACATGGATATAATAGTGTTGAGTGAAACAAAAAAGAAAGGAAATGGAAATGAAAGGCAAGGAAATTATGTTCACTTTTTTAGTGGAGTGGGAAAAGAAAAGCGTGCAAGAGCAGGAGTGTCCATAGCTGTACATAAAAGATTGGAGAAAAATATTCACAGCTGGGAAGCAATTGATGAGAGAATAGCATGTCTCGAACTTGTACTAAGAGGACACAATGTTTTTATTATAGGAATTTATGCTCCAACAGACGATGCAAATGTTGCAGAAAAATATATGTTTTTAGAGAAACTGACTATGCTGCTGGATTCTATTGGAAATCGCAAAGCGGTGTTTCTAGGTGATTTTAATGGAAGAGTTAGAAAACGAATGGCGCATAACATTGTGGGGCGATATGGTTAAAATGTATTAAATGATAACGGAGAAAGACTTATAGAGACATGTGAACTGTATGACCTTAAAATACGAATGACTATTTTCCACATAAAGAAATACATAAATTCACATGGACCAAACCCACACAACCACAACAAAATTGCAATCAATATTCGACTACATAATTACTAAAAAACAGTTATCAATAAAATAGAGCAATGTTCGGGTTCAAAGAGGTGCTTCCTGTGGATCAGATCACTACTTACTAAAAGGAAAACCTTACATTATGTATAAACCGTACTTCAAAAGTTACGGAAACACAAAACCAAGAAAAATAGAGAGTCAGATGTGGCCAAAATACAATATTGAAAGCCTTCAAGATGATTCCATTGCATTTTTGTACAAATTACGCATGGCATTCACTGAGGAGGATATTTACTTCAATTATTTCTCCTATGAAGTAAGGTAGCTTATATTATCTTTGAACAAGAGTATGTATTTTCATTGCAAGCCTGCTGCTGAATTCTATCAGGAAAGGATTAAACAGGAAATGAACTATTTTTAATTTTAATTGAATATTAATGTGCATATTTCAGAAGTTTTAGGTCATAAATGCAAATTTTTAAAAGCATATTTCAAGATTTTTTAAAGCATAAAAATCTTCTCCCTTGTGATTACTCATGTTAAATTCAGTTTCTATGGAATGTAAACTCTTGTTAAAACAAAAAGCAGAGAGTTCTTTGGTTGGCATTTAAGGTTAAATCATAGAAACATTAGTTTCATATGCTCTGACAGAATTGCTTGTCCTATTATTATGAATAATGGTAGGTGTGTGTGTGTATATATACACACAAGCACAAGCTCATATACACCCACGAGCACACACTTTAATTTATACAGGAAAATCTGTCTAAACCAGAACCAAAAATGGAACATTTTTTCCATGTCGAATAAGGGGAAAAAAATCTTTATAAAACGGAATTCCTAGGAATTTAATGCAATTGGCAGAGATGCGAGACATTCTTAATGTAATGGATGCATCTACAAGTCTGTTTTAAATTCTCTATCTCTTGCGAGTTAGTTGTGGCAACTGCACTGTGAAGGAGAGGGGCTTCAGCTGACAGTGTAGAATTTGACCTTGGGGTCACTTGTCTCTCAGGGCATAGACCGTAGGAGAATTCCCTTACCCCATCTCCAAATATGAAAAGATGTATGGGGATGGCTTGTATTCATGCCTCTCCCTGCCACATGCTTGAAGTCGTAACCCTCAGCCAGAAACGCCTTGCTCAACACCATGCGAGAGTATCAGAAAATCATAATACTTTGAACTGTGAAGCATTGAGCACTGAAAGTCACCAAGCAGTCTGATTTCAGCCATTAGGTAGTAAGGTGGTATGTATTTTTATGAGTTTCACAACCAGTTTAACAATGTGAAAACCATAAAATTGTAACATTCTCTAACATTAGAAGAATAGGTCAAACTTATGGAAGCAAGAGAAACTCAGAAGCTGTCAATTAAGAATGTTCATTTATTGGCATTTTCTTGTGTAAATATATATAATTTATATAATTTTTTTTAATAATCATAATAAAATCATGTGATTTTTACTTTACTTCAATTACTTCTTTACTTACATTAATTTACTAGTTTCAGAATGGAAATATCAATATCACAAGTGTTATTAAATGGACAACCCTGCATAAATCAGAAACCTCTTTAAACTGGACCTTTTTTTTTGTCCCAATCGATTCTGGTTTAGACAGATTTTACAGTATAACATTTATTTATGCTACACGTATATAACTGGATATCCCCAAGATTAATAATGATGAAACTAGAAGTGAACAAACACAATCTAAATATAATAGGCGTATATGCTCCAGTTGGAGGATAGGCAGCAGAATCTGACTGTTTCTGCAAAGATCTACAACAACTAGTAGACCAAGTAAGTAAAGATTAGCTCCTCATCATATCAGGAAACTTAAATGCCAGAATTGGTGATAATGAAATATGTAAAGCTCCAGAAGAGGAAAACACAAAAACTGAGAATTGGAAAATGCTACTTAACTTATGCCTGTTCAACAACTTAAGAATAACAAATAGTTTGTTTTCTTTTAACATAAGAAAAACCACAAATTTACGTGGAAAGCATGAGGCCAAAGATCCATCCTAGACCATGTAATAGTCAGCAGACCCATATTTCATTATGGCAAGAACACTAAAGTATTTCGAGGATGTGAAATAAGACAGATTACTATTTGGTAGAGAGCAAAATTAAACTCACATTACAACAAACAAAAACTAAGGAAAGTAGAAATAAAACAACCCCAAAACTCAAGGTATTCCTTCTAAAAGATGAAAGTAACAGATCGTTAAATGAAAGAAGACCGAGAGTAAAGCTACAGAAGGTAGATAAATGTTAAGAAGGTAGAGAAAACAAAATATTGAGACATTTTGGAGTTCACTTAAAGAAACCTTGATTGAAGCAGGAAAAGAGAGTGTAGGCTATAAACCAATCACAAAAACTAAATGGTTGAGAACATGGGACAATGATCTAAAAGAGATGATACACCAAAAGAAGAAAGCATACAGAATGTATCACCAAAAACAAACCGTGAGAAACTACATGGAATGTAAATTACGGGCCAAAACGAGACATGTCAGTCCAGTACACAGGAGAGAGCGCTGGAGAAAATTTGTTAAAAGCATGAAAAGAGATGTATCAGGCCCTCAACGAATGGGTTTCAAACTTTTGAAACTGCTGCACATGAATGTGAAAGATAAAATCAGACTAGATGGCATACCAGAAGAAAAATTGATAAAACACTACTCCACCCTGTGGAATAATCCAACTCTCAGATCTAATGAAGTGAAGAAAGGAACACACCAAATTTATGACAATGATGAGCTACACAACTCAGTGAAGGTACAAGAACATGAGGCAGTATTACCAAAAGCCCCAGACCAGATGAAGTCCACAACATAGAACTCATAAGATATGAAGGAAAGGAGCTGAAAGAAATATTATTAGAATTTTTTTTACAAAATATGGCAAGAGAAAACAATTCCAATAGCGTAGCACGCAAGCTTGGTTAACATTCACAAGAAGGTCTCAAAGAATATATGTGACAATTATAGGGGCATTACAGGCTATCAACAGCTTCTAAGCTATATGCAAATATGCTGAGGATACTCAATGAAATATGTCAGAATTTCATGGGAAAAGAGCAATGTGGATTCTGAAAGAGTAGGAGCACTGAAGATGCCATCTTTACATAAAAGATGTTAATAGACAAAAGGAGGGAAAAGAATCAACTGACTTTCATAACATTTATTGATTATGAAACGGCTCACAACATAGCTAATATACAGTAACTCTGGGAAATAGTAGAAGAAGAGAAAATTATAAATTAGTTGCTCAATACAATACAAAGTCTCTACAAGAACTCAAGAATTAAAATACTGGCAAAGAAAGTCTGCAGCAGTAATAACCAACCAGCTTAAGGCAAGGATGTGGATTATCACCCATCATCTTCAACATATATATGAACTATTTAATGAGAAACTGGAGAAGTAAAGTTAGACAAGGAATACAAATCACAAAAGACAAGAAGATAGATACAACCTTGTATGCTGATGACTAAACTAACATAATAGATTCAAAAGATAATTTACAAAGAGGAGTTTTTGAATTGACAAAACTGGCCCAAGAATATTCCATGAAGATACTTCAGAAAACACACACATAGGCAATACAAGACAAGGAACACAGGAATGCGCCAAAATAGTAATAAATGGAAAATTAGGGGACCAAGTAAATAAATTTTCATACTTTGGAAATATCATAAGTGCATACAACCAAACTCAGAAAGACATAGAAAACAAACTTAATAACAATAGAATCTGTGGAACAATGAAGAGGCACTTTGGCAGAGACATGGACTTGGAAACAAAACAAACTCCACAATATAGCTGCTACACCTAGAATCATATATGACTCTGAAACATGGGTAATGAAAGAGACAAACAAGCAAAAATTACAAGTGGCACATATGAGATTTTGATGACACCTCATGGGTGTCACAAGAAGAGACAGACTGAGAAATAAAGACATTGAAAACCGAATGTTTAGTAGAAGAGATAGAACAGTCTCAAAGGAAAACGAAAGATTATTTACTGAGAATGAACAACAACAAATTTCCAAAATTAATCTAGAAGTACAAACCACAAGGGATCAAAAATAGAGGCAGACTATTAAAGATGTGACAACTGCAGGAACATTTGGAAGATTAATAATCTGCCCACCTGCCTGCCCAGAATAGCTTTCATAAATGCAGTGTATTTACTACTACAAATCAATACATACTCTATTATGTTTAGTATTATTAACAACATTTTACTAACCTTCATCATAAATGGTTGCTTTCCATCAGTTTGGCTCTTGGGATCACATTGTAGAACTTTTGAAGTTGTCAGCAAATTTTGTAAATTCTTCCAAACAAAGGGTACCACAGATACCGTATACCTTAAAGGAAAACAAACAATCAGAAAATAAAACATTCAATTCAGATTTATTATGAAGAATGGTTGTTTATTGATCCCTTGCTCATTTGCTGAGTAGATAGTAGGCCTATAACCTGGTGGATCTACATTAAATCCTACAAACATAGTATCATACATATGTATTCTGTGCTATAAATTTGAATTGTTCACTTCTAACTATTGCTCTGAAGAAGACAAATATGTATAAATGAAACATTACCAAGAAGAAATAAATGTATTTTCTAAAACATATACAGATGATACTAGTCTGTTCATAAAATGTAACTTGTAGCTAGAAGTGAAAAACCTAGCTTAAGCTAAGATGAGTACAAATGTCAAATGGCTGAGTGAAAAGTATCTGACTTTAAATACAACTAAAATAGTTTTTGTGGCTTTTGGTAGATATGTAGGTAGTATACCATCAAATATTGAGTTTCAACTACACAAACTTATATAGAAATACTGTGGCATGTGAAGGTCATCATATAGTTAGGAGTAGAATATACCAAATATTTGGGTGTAATTATTGATTGTAATTTGAAATAGACACAACTATTTTTATATTACAAACAAATTACAATATCTGATTTATGTCTTTTATAATCTATGCATTATTTTTGGTAAAAATCAAATGAAAATAATGTACTATACGTTGTTCTGGACCATTGCTATATACGGCATAATTATGAGGGGTGGTACCTATGAAAACACCTTAAAATCTTTAGAACTTTGTGATTCCAAGAGGGGGAAGCTGGGGCTTTTGTGGACGCTTGCGCGAGCAGACACAAGGATAGAACAGACAAGCAGGGGGGAAGATTCAGATTGAATCAGACAAGCTGGGCAAAATAGAACTGGCGAGCAAGGGGGAAGGTGCTTTTTCTGATCATCGACTGTAATCGCACCTCTGCATGCAATCAGTTGAATTTATTTCTGATTCCGGACTGAGAAATTTTGTCCCAGGTAGAAAAAAGCAATATTTTCAATAAGTCTATGGTGCTTTTGTTTTTCAGATAAGAAAATTGATTGCTATCTATTATTTTATATTTTTCCATGTGATTTGTAATATATATTTTTTGAATATTTTACTTATTGTGTTTAAAATGGAAAATGGCCTATAGTTTTCATAGGTTGAGAGACTGTCTGCTTTATATAAATAATAATAATAATAATAATAATAATAATATTAACAACAATAATAATTATAAACATAATAGTAATAATCATCATAATAATAATAATAATAATAATAATAATAATAATAATAAT